ATAGTCTGCCATTGCTTATATTCTCTAATATGCTTTGTTAAAGGTTTCTCTTTAGTTCATTATAATTTCTTATAATAATACTATTCCTCACATAAACATAAATAGTTTTTCTTGAAAAGGAAATAATTTTATTTTCTCAATTTCTTGATTTTTCTAGGCAATCAAAAAATCTAAACAGTGCCAACTTTAGATGATGAGAGTTTGAGATAGCTAATTTATTTATATATTTTTCCAAAGATTCGAAAGGTTTACCAATAAATTTTTCCAAAATTTATTAGTAAACTAGTTGTTAAGTGACCTAGATTATTGATGTATCATTCAGATTCATTAAGCTTATAATTCTAGAAATTATCATCTACAGGCCCACCAGTGGCCAAGCAATCTTCATACCCTGAACACTGGGAGTTCGATTGTGGGTTCGCACCTCGCTTGGACAGACTGGCCATGTGGAGTTTTCTGGGTTTTCTCCATGTCTGTAATGCCTAAATAAGGACCAGTGTCCCTTAAAAGACCTCCCAGAAAGTATCCCCCTAGGCAGATCATCCAAATGTTGCATTGCCATAACTAAACAAACTATTATCTACAGTGAGTGATAACTTTGTGTTATTTTAGTTTTGGCATGAGAAGAGATAAATATTTTAAATTTAATTCATAAACTGCTTCATTTAAAGTGAAATAGTTTTTGTTTAATTTTAAATTTTGAGAATTATTTTGTATTTTATCTTAACTTAATGGAAATTTCCATTTTATAAGGATTTATACATTTAGTTAATTAAAAAATGGTAATTTGTATTGTAAAAATGCAAATTTTTAAAAACATTTATATTTTATTAATATCAAAATTTTAATTATTATTATAAAATATATAAGTTAAAAACAATTCGTTTTTGCAGATTTATCTCAAAAAACTTTTAATTAGAAAAATTGAATTTATTAAATATCCAATTTTTACACTCATTCTTTAAATTCAAATGTAATGTATTCAAAATCTTTAGTTTTGATATTTCTATAAACAGAAGTATATATATATATATAAATTGAGTGTATATACAAATATTGTGATGATCTACAGGAATCTAATCATACAAGGAGTCATTTACTGTTTAAGAAGTTTCTTTATTGTCCTATACATAATACTCCCCCACTAGGTGTTCTTACTTAAGATCTCATTACTTATTAATAAGAAGAAATTTTCTTTAGATGTATATTCACTGTATTGATATTTAATATTCAATGAAATAAAAAAAAGCAATAATATTAGCAACAACCTATCAACTAATAAATGCTTGATAGAAATTTTATAAAATATTAATTTGAAAAATTTTTATTAGAAGATTAAAGGCTTACTGGTACATATAAGCATTTATCTTCTAAACTTTTTTCTTTTCAGTCCTTTTCTACTCATTTTAGTTGGCTGATTCAGAACACTTATTCAATGTTTGTGTATTATAATAATGTTTTAATGCTTAAGAGTTTATATGTTAAAACATATTTGATGATTTAACTGAAGATATAGTTCTGTATTGTTATTACAGTTCAACAAACATAAATTTTAAGGCCAGGATTTCTCTCTTTCTCTTGTTTGTTAAATCATCTTTAACTGATTGAACATCTTGATCATTGAACTGATTCCAAAAACATTTGATTTTTCTGGCTTAAAATACAGTATGGTGAATGTTTTGTTGAACAAATTTGACTTTAGTAAATTTAACAAATAGTCTGATAACATGACATGATAGTATTCACTATGACTATATTGAAATGTAGGCCAGTCTATTTGTGGGGTAATTTGATTGAGGTCTTTACAAATAAATGACACATGTTGGTGGAAAGAATTAATTTAATGCTAAATCAAAGAATAAAAATGATAAAACAGCTAGCGGACTTAAACAGTATTCTTACAAACTATACAAATTTCTTGATCTCATCCACTAATTATAAAGAGATTGCTTGAAATCACAATGTTACTAATATGCACTTATTCTAAAAAAAAATATATATATATACAAATATTTACAGGGTGATATGCTTGGTAGTTCCATCCTCTTAACACAGTTACTTGACGAAATTGATGTTCTTTGTTAACACGCACGTGGTCGAAACTTAATTAAGAAACAAAATTAGAAAGCATCAAGTTGGTGAAATAATTGTCCCGATGAGTAAGCCTAATTCTTACATATAGTTTTAATTAAACTACTTGCCAGTTGGGGCCAAATCCAGATTGATGGGTTGGATTGCCCTTTAGCACACAGCGGTTCAATCACCTATCGTTACTATTCAATTCTTACCCAAAATCCTCTCCACTCATTTATTTCAGATGAGAGCTCAAAAGTCCAGTCCAGTCTCTAGAGTCCAAGAAGGGAAAAAAGCCCTTTTTACACGTATGACATATATTTTTATAGCTCCTGCCATCTGGGAACATCACTACACACACGATCTGCTCTAGACCAATCTACATTCACAACTGTGGTGACCCCAAAAGGTGATACAGAATTTATAACAATACACACGCATAACAAAGAGAGAGAGGGAAAAAAACCCGATACAATATCACTTAAGAACAGAACGTGATGACATAAATTAAAATTTCTTTATACAACTAAATAACTATAGTGGCGGAGCACTACACATGTAATAATGGTAGTGCAAACTCTCTTTTCTCTCTTACAATAATTGAAAATCAAATACTTTCACTAGTAGTATGTATCACTCATAGTGGCTTACAGACTAGTCTTTAATTTTTCAAAATTTGAAATAAAATTCTACAATTGTCTAATTATTTCTATGAGACAGTTTTGTATCTCAAACAATTCAATGTTGCATTGTTCACAATTAAATTTAAACTTATACAATATTTTACATAAAACAAAATTGCTTAACAGAACAAATTTAAGTAACCATGTAAGTAATGTAATGTGCTTACTACTACACAATGAATGAAATAAAGCTAAAATATTTCACATACAAAACTATTTCTAAGCGTCATTATAAAAATCAAAATTGAAGAGTTAAATGTCCAGACATGAATTTCAATAATTATTACAATTCTTTTTATACAAATGCAATAGAAGAAATATTCCAAAATACATTACCTAGAAATGCTAAAATAGTTGATTAATTTGAAGAAAATGGTTGTCTTCAGCTTTTATTCTTGTCTGAGATGAGAGGGACAAAAATAATTTTTAAAATTTTTGAATTTCACTACTGGCCAGAGTGCATTATTTTCATTAGACATCTATTTATTTTTTATTTGATCAACAGTCTATTGCACAATAATAATCACACAAAATAAGTATCTTTGGAAATAACTTGTGCATAATATCCATAGTTCATTTCTCTCCCAAATTAAGTCTGCAGTGGCAATGATGTTCAATGTCAATGATGTCAAATGTTAATTTTTCTACTAACATAACATTTTTTTACTTTTTGAAACTTTGGAACTTTAAATAAAAACACTTTTTCTATGAAATCTTTATAAAAATTTATATAAAATATAATTAATATCAATTTAGACAAAAATAATAACAACTTTTAAACATTAATTTATTATAATTCTTAATTTTAAATTATTTTGTCCAGATTTCTGTGAAACTCCAAGAAATTCTTTGTAGAACCCTTGGATTTTGCAGAATATAGCTTAAGAAACACTATATTGGAACATTGCAGTGTACTAATAGGACCACAAACTTGGATCTACTCAAGTATGAAAGAAGTAATCTATGTTACCAATAGGCTGCATTCATAACTGCAATTGAGTTTTATCAATTTCCAAAACAGGTATCCCTTGATTAACATGGTTAATTAATCCCTTGATGCTACAGCATATATCAAAATTGCATTAATCAAATACAATGGTACATTAGTACTCAACTGAACAATCATCACCAATTAGAACAAATTTTTGGTTAATAGCAAATATTTTTATTGTGATAAATGAAAATAGCAAATTCTCCAACATGTTATTTGCTGAGAAAAACATATGTTAAGTAAAGACAGTTAAAGACAGCTGTTAAAGCAGTGTTAATTAAAATTTCTGATGTGTATAAAAAAAGGATTTCCATAATTAATTTCATGCATTAAGCAAAACCTGTATTAAAAATAGCTATATTTTCAATTTTATATTTTTCAATTTTGAGACATTTACTTAAAATACATATCTTTATGAGCTTAATTAATTCTAATAATACTAATTAATTAAGCAAACATTAATTAAATATATTACATTAATGTATCAGATATTTTTAATACAGGTATCCCTTGCTTAACATGGTTTTCCTTAATGCATGATTTGATTAATTAAATGTAACAATAAACTATAATTTGTAAAAAAAAATTTTTATTTAATCTAATAGAAAGTATTGAAAATACATATAAAATTTATTATAAAAATAGAAAATTTATGTATCATGACAGTTAGGAAATTATTATATGCATTATTAAAAATTTAATAACAACAACAAACATTTGATCTTATAAATAATTATTGTTAATCATACAAAATCTTTATAATTGATATGTTTTTCAAAAATCACTTTATAAAATACCGTAATTACTCGTGTAAGACAATCTCGCTTATAGGACAAGGTGTGACTTTAAAGATCAAAATAAAGCAAATTAGATTTATTAATACAATTCTGATTTTATTTCGTTTAACGACAAATGAAATATTAAATGCATGTAAATGCATACATTGTCCCGCAAAAATTACTGGCATTATAAACTTTAATGAAAAATCTTGTAAAATCAACAACATAATTTGTTCATGTAAAGCTGGACAATCAGGAACCTTTTTTTGCCAATTAACAGTCAAATCCACTCTCTGTTGATTACACTTATGAGTTACTTCAAATTCTGATTTCCAAATAATCATCTGTTTTCACATGGGAATGGATTAAAACTTATATCAGGCTCCCATGTGATTTTGGAATTTCAACTTGAAATTTAATTCAAAAGCTTTGCTTTTCTTATTGTTATTCATCTTTAATCCTGACAATACACAAGAACGATTCAAACAATCTAGATAAAATACTTTGGTTTTTAAACACCAGAGCTTGAGCATCTGGTAAAAAATGCGAATACATGATTCACAAAAATTATTTCAAAAATGCAAAGAATCCTTCACTTGTGCATATAGGAAAACCTAGGTTTTTGAAGCAGTGAAAAATGAATAAAAACTTTGTCTTATATGTGAGTAAATATGGTATTTCATTTTTAAAACTTTATTTATCACTTTTAACAGCAGTAGTTCTTATAGTAGTTATTCTTCTCATTTCAAAGAGAAGGGAATATATATGTCATTTTTAACATTAACTAAATATCCACTAAAACTTTTATGAGAACTATACAATATACCCATTTATATATCTGCTACATATTATTTATAACAATAAATAATAATTATAACAGTAATACTATTAATCTCTCCTACTCATAGCTTCATTCTTAGAGTATAATTCTATATGTAAACAATTTAGTTTCCAGCAGAAAACAATTTCTCGAATATATATTGTATATTCAATATTTATTAAAGTATAAACAAGATACTAATCATAATTTACAGTAAAAATTATATAATTATTAAATACGTAGCATTTTAAATTTGTTTTTAAAATATCTCTTAATATTTCAAAATAACTGAATAGATTTTTTTTATATTGTTATTGTACATTAAAAATTTCAATATATAGGTTGTCCATAAAATAAGTATACAACTTTAAAAAATAATTACTCATAAACTAAAAATGATAAGTGCTACCAATTAATTTTATAATGTTTGGCAACTTCAAAAGTTTCTTTCTAGATGATGCAACACCACATTGATCTTTGGATATACAGTACACTCTTGTTTAGAATGATGTTTCCCAGAACACTTGATCAGACATGGGGATCTGATTGCATGGCATCCCCATTCACTGGACATTACTACATGGGATTTCTTCCTTTGAAAATTTATTAAAGATATCATCCACAAAACTAAAGTGACAACTTTAACTAAGCTAAAGGAATGCATCATTGCAGCTTTTCAGTATATATCACCAGGTATTCTTAGGCACATGGATTAAACTGGACTATTGGCAGAACATCCCCTGTGCAATGAAGGAGATATACTGAACATATGGAAAAAAAGTGATACATGAGGAGATATACTGAAAATATGGAAAAAAGCTTCAAGAATTTTGAAACATTATAAAGTTCATTAAAACTAAAAACTTTTAAAGTACAATAAGAATATAAATTATAATGTCTGTATTGAGATTGATTAAGGATTGAAATTCATTATAGCCTAAGTTAAAGTAAAAAACTACTTTTTGGAAACCAACCTGAGAAAATCATTAATCATCTAACACCCAAGTATATCTGAACTGCTCAATCTCATCTTCAGAAAATTTGCCCTAACTACAACTTTCAGTTTTGAATAAATGCCCAAGGAATTCAATGTTTGGAAAAAGAAATGCTTTAATTAAAAGAAAACAGCTGAGAGAGAGTGCTATGTAGAATTTTTCTTCATAATGGTTTAGAATGTTTTTAAGAAAATAAAAAATATATAGCAAAAAATTGAAAATGTATACAATAATATATTCTTTGTTGGGCATTTATTCAAAACCAAAAATTATAGGAAGAAGTCTCTGAAGCTGAGCTTGACCAACTCAAAAGTACTTGGGTGTTAGATGATGAATGATTTTCTCAGGCTAGTCTCCAATAAGTAGTTTGTTATTTTAACTTATAATGAATATTTTGTAAAAGTTAACAATTTACATAATGCAAGAGATATATAAATTAATTTTGTAAATCAAAAGCTATATCATTATTTTGTACTTTTCTTTGATTTGCCTGGCAACATATCCATAAATTTACAAATAATAGCCAGCATAATTTCATCTGTCCCTCCTCCTATAGATAACAGACGGCCATCACGAAAGGCTCTACTGACTTCAGCTTCTTTGGTGTAGCCCATTCCTCCCCAGAACTGTAAGCAAGAATCTGTCAACTCTCTTTGAAGTTTGCCAGCTTTTAACTTTGCCATAGATGTAAGAAGAGTTGCATTTTCTCCATTCATTACATGAACTAGAAATTTCAAAGTAAAAAGTCAGGATTAAAATTTATCATTAATTTTACATTTTTTTAATTAAATAATTTTAAATTAAAATAATAATTTTGTTAATTAACAAGTTTTATTTTAAATTATCTTAAGAAGTTCATTTTTTATATGATTAATTGCAATTCATAAAATGTAAAAAACACCCTGATTCAAAAAAGATATAAATAATTTTATTATATTTTTACTTTCCTGTCTGTTATATAAAACAGAGAGAAAGTATGGTAATCAGACAAAAACTGACACCCCAAGATTTTTACATTTTTGGACTCAGGACATCTTGAAACGTCGAGAAATGCAAAAACATTTGGAGGTTTTTACTGTATGTATGAATGTTAGTGTGTGTGGGAGGCACAATTTTGTTCACCCTCTTTGAAGCTTAATAACTCTTGTGCTTTTTGTCAAAAATTTTTGCAGGATGGTTTGTTTATTAGAGGGATTGATACTATTAAATTTTGGTATTTTAAGGTTGAGGGGTGGGGAGATAATGGGGGTCATGTGTATCTCCAGTAGGGTCGAATAACAATGAGTAAAATCGTCATTAAATTTCATGTACAGTACTTTAATGACAATTTTACTCATTGTTAACGTTTACAGTTTTTTATAAAACCTATCCTACCCTCAAAATTAAGCTTTTTGCCATTTTATAATAATTTAAAATATAAAGAGTTTTTTAAATAAAATATGATAACAGATGACACCACCAAATGTTGCCAGGAAAGTTAAGCAACTTGTTGCTGGATTTTTTAGATTTAATTCAAATGTATAAATCAAAAAATTTAATAAAGTAAAAATGTCATTTAACACTACAGAATTCAAACACTCTTGTTTGTAATGAGTTTTAGATTTCTAAAATCCTTCTACAAATATTATAATATATAGTTTTATAATTTATCAAAGAAGATGAAAGTCTTTAATAATATATCAAAGCTTGACTCCACAGTAGAATAAATACCATGGTGCCAAGTTTTGTAATACAGTACTGTGTTACTATAAACAAAGTTAAGAATTTTTTACATTTTTTAATAGCATTAAATTTACCAATAAGCTGGTGTTGGTTCAATTAGCAGCCAGAAATGTTTTTGAATAAAACTCTTTAGTAATCTGATTCATGCAGTTTGTCTTTATTACATTTCTTTCTTGATAAATTACTTACCAATAAATACAAAAAGTATTAGTTATAAAGTTTATTTGCATATTTTTGTTTATGAAAAAACTTTTCAAATATAAAATAACTTTTATATGCTATTTGAACTGATGCTAATATAAAGAATTCTAAAAATATCTAAGTAATAAAAGAACACATATACAGCAATAGATTGAAATAAAAACAAACTGTGAATAAGAAAAACATCAAACTATAATTTCGTGTACAGTACCTGAAGCCCTGTAAATTAAAGAACGAAGAGCTTCTACTTCTGTTTGTAATTCGGCTAGTCGATAATGAATGTATTGGTTATCCAAGATAGATTGTCCAAATGCCTTTCTTTGTCGACAATATTCTATTGTAGCTTGTATTATCCNAAACACCCTGATTCAAAAAAGATATAAATAATTTTATTATATTTTTACTTTCCTGTCTGTTATATAAAACAGAGAGAAAGTATGGTAATCAGACAAAAACTGACACCCCAAGATTTTTACATTTTTGGACTCAGGACATCTTGAAACGTCGAGAAATGCAAAAACATTTGGAGGTTTTTACTGTATGTATGAATGTTAGTGTGTGTGGGAGGCACAATTTTGTTCACCCTCTTTGAAGCTTAATAACTCTTGTGCTTTTTGTCAAAAATTTTTGCAGGATGGTTTGTTTATTAGAGGGATTGATACTATTAAATTTTGGTATTTTAAGGTTGAGGGGTGGGGAGATAATGGGGGTCATGTGTATCTCCAGTAGGGTCGAATAACAATGAGTAAAATCGTCATTAAATTTCATGTACAGTACTTTAATGACAATTTTACTCATTGTTAACGTTTACAGTTTTTTATAAAACCTATCCTACCCTCAAAATTAAGCTTTTTGCCATTTTATAATAATTTAAAATATAAAGAGTTTTTTAAATAAAATATGATAACAGATGACACCACCAAATGTTGCCAGGAAAGTTAAGCAACTTGTTGCTGGATTTTTTAGATTTAATTCAAATGTATAAATCAAAAAATTTAATAAAGTAAAAATGTCATTTAACACTACAGAATTCAAACACTCTTGTTTGTAATGAGTTTTAGATTTCTAAAATCCTTCTACAAATATTATAATATATAGTTTTATAATTTATCAAAGAAGATGAAAGTCTTTAATAATATATCAAAGCTTGACTCCACAGTAGAATAAATACCATGGTGCCAAGTTTTGTAATACAGTACTGTGTTACTATAAACAAAGTTAAGAATTTTTTACATTTTTTAATAGCATTAAATTTACCAATAAGCTGGTGTTGGTTCAATTAGCAGCCAGAAATGTTTTTGAATAAAACTCTTTAGTAATCTGATTCATGCAGTTTGTCTTTATTACATTTCTTTCTTGATAAATTACTTACCAATAAATACAAAAAGTATTAGTTATAAAGTTTATTTGCATATTTTTGTTTATGAAAAAACTTTTCAAATATAAAATAACTTTTATATGCTATTTGAACTGATGCTAATATAAAGAATTCTAAAAATATCTAAGTAATAAAAGANCTGTGTTGCTTGGGCAAAAAATAACAACAGCAAAGATTAAGATTATTTCGTACTGCTAACCCTTCTATTATATTAAAATATAGTATTTGATTTATATTTACAAAGGTTATCTTATGCAAGAGTATCATACCAAGTGCCCAATCTTACACATTTTAAAAAATTCTTTAAATTGTGTACAAAAGAATTTTTAAAATGTGTTAGATTGGTTTCTTAGTGTGATTAAACCTTAGGTAAGATAACCTTCTTAGTCTACACTGACCAACCCTTGTTTTTGTTTTTATGTAATACTTCTGATAATTTCTGGGCTTCAAAAAAACAGACTTACAAGACATTCATTTACATGTCTTTAGTGGTTTCTAAAAAAACTGCACTAGTAGAGAAATGTCTGAAGCATGCAAAGGATTTTTCACATCTTTTAAAGATGCTCTTTATGAGTTTAGATAAAAGAAAGCTATTTGATGATTTTTAAATTGGAAGTTAAAATTATCAGACAGCCCATATCATCCGTAACCTGCAGCCATTTTCAAATTGACTTTTAAATATACATGACTGTAGGTTAGCTGCATGAAATTATGATATTATTCATGTATCATAATTATATTTTAGAATGTAGCAAAAGATTACTTTTATAATAAACATATACATACCTCCTATACAACCTGCCAATCTCTCATATTGAAACTGTAACATTTGATATGTGAAACCCATTCCTTCCTCACCAATAATATTTTTTGCTGGAACTCTAACATCTTCAAAGAAAAACTGTGCTGTGTCTGAAGAAAATGTACCTAACTTTTCTATCTTATTTCTACTTATACCTAAAAGAAAAATTAATATATTGTAATAATTTGAAATGCACATGTTATTTATAACATGTTTTTAATTTTTTAACTCTTACTACTTGGTCATGTGAATGTTTTTAAGTCATAAATAGAAAATATCAATACTTTAAACAAATGCAAGTATTAAATATTTATAGTACATATACTATATAATCAGTCATACAAACACTTTTTTTTTTAAATGAAAACTTGAAACTGAACTATTTGTATTTGTAAAATTGCATGTCATATATTCAAAGATTAAAACTTTGTATAAAGTAATTTTGTATATTTTTTAAATTTATGACATTAAGTTTATATATAACTATAAATAAATTTAAAATTTTATACTCTTGAATACTTTTGCATTCAAAAAAATATACAGGTGTTACACATTATGCACTACATATAATATATACATAATATATGTACAGTACAATACATACTGTACAATACATACTCGCATATAAGACGAGGTTTTATTCATTTTTTACTGCTTCAAAAACCTAAGTCATCCTAAATGTGTGAGCAAAGGATTCTTCATGTTTTTGCAATAATTTTTGTGAACCATGTATAGTTCATGCTGCCATTATAGCAGGGTGCTATTGAGATTAAGGTGAGTGTCAGTGTCACTTTCAGAGACAGTCTGAAAATAGTCAGTCATTTAGCAATCATTATTAATGTAGTTATTTCATATTTCTTAAATTGGTATTTTTAATGAATATTTGCACATTCTGAATCATAAAAAGTAAACTTTTTCTGGTCATGCATATTATAATCTTTTGGTTTGCTATGTGAGTATGAAGTGTGTGGAAAAGCATTCCTCAAGAGCTGATATGCAAAGTCATTCAGTTAATACTGCATTTCAAATTCACTTGATGGATCAGAGGACAATGTTTTGTGTAGTCAGAGTGAAAAAGTGGAGAGTTGTAACGAAGCTTTGGAGGATGAGTCCAAATAGACAAAACGTGATAGCATCAAGAAAACATGGTTGTTTGCCTTAATTAATACGTGCATTTGATAATATTCTATTTGTGATTAAACAAAATAAAATTAGAATTGTATTAATAAATCTAATTTTCTTTATTTTGATCTTTAAAGTCACACCTACTTCTATATGCAAGATCATCTTATACATGAGTAGATATGGTATATACAGTAGAGCATTGATTATCCAAATGCCAATCAACCAAAACATCAGTTAACCAAAAGTGTTCTAGTCGGACTGTGTTGTGCTGAATCAAACGTTTTTGATACTGGATTAACTTCTAAAGTATAATTTTTTTTGTTTTTATATTTTTCAATATATTTATTTTGTTTGTACAAAACAAAAAAATAATTTTTAATGATACAATAGCCATGATTATTATTATAAAAATTTTTGTTCAGCTTAACATCAACGAAAATTCAATGCAAAGTGACATGCAATGGAAAAAATTTAATACTATAATATACTATAATAAATAATGTACTATTATTGGGATATACTAATGTGAGATCTGAATAGACCCTGTGACTAATTAATAATTTAATTATAAAGTTAAATTTTTAGAGAAAAATATTCTTTCATTTTGGTGAGAAAATAGCTTTTTCAAAACGTGGGAAATTGATAAAAAGTCACTTCCTTCCACAGAAGTTGAAACATCGTTTTGTTTTACCCTTATCTATCAAAAATCTTAGCACCCTGGGAACTGTCGACCCCTTGATAAATCCCCTTTTTCCTCAGTCACGTGTGAGAATCCAAAAAATTGATTGGATGAAAATCATGAGATATAGAAAGAGTTATGCATGATTCAGGGAGTACGCTGAGGAATCTCATAGAAGACAGACGTATTCCATACTACATCCCTAAGGCCAACACCCATAGTTGTATCCCGCAGATTTTAATAATGAGTTCAAGTTAGTAAGATAAAAAAATTTTTTATTATGTGCTATTCAAGACCTCCCCACGAGCTGAAGTATAAGAACTGAATGAATAGAAGTATAAAGAAATTAAAGGTGAAGATAAAAGAGAAATCATTAGAGGTAGTATGATTATCATAGAAAATTGTGAGCTCTCTCGATCTCTCGAAACGTTTAGATTAATTATTCCATTGTGTATAGTTTTATTCATTTGTCTTATTAAATTGTTAAAGGAATCTCAAGTGTCTGAATCAAACACATTCTCTCCACGAAGCATAACGCGTGTTAATCTAAATTTGATTAACTGATGTCAGGAATCCTGACTAGGGAACAAGTGATTACGAAATCCTCTAATTCCGCTTTAAAATAATCTTCAAACTGTAAGTTCCTCCGCACTCAATTTTCTTTGAGTAGAAAAACCATCCTTTTAGACAAACTCTGTTTGTCTAAAAGGATGTCTAAAGGTTTGTCTAAAAGTTCTACTCAACTATTCAGCAATTATTCTAAAGAATAGTTGCCGAATAAGTGATACTGAAATCAGAGTTACTCATTACCCCTGGCTAGCCCCTCACACTAATATACTATATTAATAATGTATTTTTTCGTACATAATTGGTTATCTGAAAAATCAATTTTCCAAACAACTCCAGTCCCCAATTGATTTGGATAATCAATGCTCTACTGTACATATAAATATTTAATTAAACTAGTTTACTTTAAGAAATAAAAATTATAACCACACAAAATATATTTAATACATTTTTAAACTTCTAGTCCACAAAGTTAGAAAGTAACAAGTCATACCAAATGTATTGTTCAAGCCTTGCTCGGACGGGCTGGCTAAATGGAGTTTTCCAGGTTTTCTCCATGTCTGTAACACCTAAATAAAGGCCAGTTTCCCTTAAAAAGATCTCCCGGAAGGCATTCCCCCTAGGCATATCACCCAAGTGTTGCATTACCATAACTTAACAAACAAACATACCAAATGTATTTATTTATAACAAAATAAAAGTCAACTGTTATAAATAAATATGTCTGGAAACATTGCATTGTTATGTTTTTCCAACTTTGGGGTTGAAAGCTGAAAAGTTTACAATTTAAAGTAAAATTTAAATTTACAAATTTAAAAAGGTCGGGTTATTTTTTCATTTCTTTGGATAAATGTTTCTTAAAGTAAATTATTTTGTAGAAGCAATGGATCAAACAATAATATATCAAGGCCACTCTGAAAGTTTCCAGATATGTGTAAACCACTGAATGCAAAAATAAAACAGTCTGTGATGCTTTACTGCTGAACATTTTCTGAGCATAAGTTCAACAGTATACCTGTGTCCTTGAAATTTTCCACGCATGGGAAGTGCTTGAAGGCACCACCATATCTAATAGATAGAGATATATCGATATTTTATTGTAACTTACTGGAGTACAGTAAATCCTGGGTGCCACAGATGTATAACCCAGTATATCTAATGTTAAAAATGGAGCTGACAGGAAGCATTTATGAGCAATGATGTTTTACAACTTTAAATCTGGTTTGTCAGAGTCCCACTGCCTCCGCCATTTGCAAGTAACATTTCCTAATTCCTGTCCATCATGAACACAAGTATTCTGGTGATTCAGATAAATTAGACATGACAGAAACATCCTTAAAGGTAAAGAGAGAAATAGGAGACCTGCAACTACAGTTATTCTGTATAATCCATAAGGATATCGAGCACACCTTAGGTATTGGATTGGTGGCAGTGAATGGTATCTTGCACAATCATCTTCATGTCAGGAAGATCATGTCTTGGTGGGTGCCTCATTCTCTAACTGAACAAAAAGAAACTCATATGGAATGGTGCCACTACATGCTGAAAAATTTCAACAGGGAAGCTCAAAACGTCAGTGGGACTTTGTCACTGGAGACAAGACTTGGATCTACCATTATGACCCTGAAAGCAAGGCACAATCCATTAGTTTGGGTCTTCTCCAATGAAGCACCACCTGCCAAAGTCAAGTGTTGGCTGAAAAAACGGTAGCAACATTCTTTGGAAGACAGGGTCATGTTATCACCATAGCCCTTGAAGATAGGAAGACAGTTAATGCTGAGTGGTATGTCACCATTTGTCTTCCTCAAGTCTTTCAAGAAATCTGCAAATGGTAACCCAAAACATGCTTTCATAGGATCTTGCTCATCATGTATGTGCAACAGCACATATAGCAACAAGAATGGTGGATTACTTGAGCGATTCCTGAGGGCAGTTGGTCACCCATCCACCTTACAGTCCAGATTTAGCACCCTGCAATTTCTTTCTGTTTCCCAAAGCCAAGGAGATTCTGAAGGGACATCGTTTTGGGAGTCTGGAATAGACAGTTGCTGCATACAGAGACACCTTGGCAGATATATCAGAAGATTGGTGTCAGTGCTTCCAAAGCTGGTTCTCCAGCATGCAATGGTGCATTGAACATCAGAGAGAGTACTTTGAGAAGATATGAGGATGGACAGAAAGTGACAACAAACAGTGTCATTGTATCCAGAAACTTTCAGCATGGCCCTTATATAAATCAGCTATAGCCACAATAACAGCTTTTTTGTAGCTATGCCTTGACCTTGGTCCAATAAAGCACTAGGCACCAGTATATACATACATTAAGTAGGATATCTCCACCAACATCATAATAATAATAATTTAATTCATTGTCATTATCAAACTTATATATTATCTATATTCATCAAAAACTTTTTCCTCCTTTTCCTCAACTTACTTTAATATTGAAAATTTTCTAATTTGAAAAATTTCATTTCCAAATTCACCAAAAATTTAATTCCAAAAATGCATTCCAATTTAGAATGCATAACTGATCATTTTCAATCTTCCAGTTTAGAGTATGTAACTGTTATAATTGAAACATTTCAAGAATAAATATTTTTTGGTTGCCTTAAATAAGCAGTTTATTTGCAAGTGTTGATATGTTTTCTTAATCTTTCATTATTCATTCAAATTATTTAATTGATAAATTGAATCATTTAATTTGTCAATAAAAAATTTTAAAAATAAGATCTATATATCCATCAGGTAAATGAATAAAATCACATTAAATAAAATATAGCAATGAAATACAGTGGGTGATCGGTTAACAAACAGTTCAGACTGTGAAAAAATTGGATAACCAGCACTTTCGAAAAAGATTTTATGTTCAGACAACAAACACCTCACAGAATAAACACAAGAAGTGATGCTGTGTTTGAGATTTGTAGAACTGTTGTTACTGGCACTCTATAAATGGATAAACACTGTCCTAAACTGGATGTATGCAATATAAGAACACTTTGAAACCATAATTCAGTTAAAAAAACAAAAACATTTATTGAAAAACAAACGTTTTCAAGCTTTATAAAGGCCATCCTCAGGTTCTACTGGTAGAATGCAAAATTGAACAAGATATATTTAAAAATATTCATTGCATAAGAAGTTTGCATGTGCAGGAGTGTAGTAATATATTATAAATTAAAACAAAAACAGAAGAAAAATAAGTTATCTATAGTTATTTAAATTTTTTGTATAACAAAAAATCATAAAAAAACATTAAATGTACTAAGACCAAAGGCTTATAAAACTGAACACCAATGCTAAACGTATTCGAATACTGCCCTCCAGGCATACAATATAGGAGCATAGTCCCTGCTGGTGATAGCCGTTCCTCTAGAAATAGCACTGTATATCTCAATAATCTCAAGATATTTTAGACATGATGGTAATTCATTTAGATGTAGAAGGTGAGCTCTATCAAAATGAACATCTATGTCTCTGTTCAATGCATAGGTGGCCAAGACAGTAGCTCCTGTTTTTTTAGTAATTGAGTCCTGGTGTCCTTGAGCCTTGTCTTGAGGAATCAAAAAGTAACACCTATATTGTCAACCAAGCTTTTGGTCATAGAAAGGAATTGTGTATACTCCTGGCAGAGCCTTTTCATCAGGAGGGTCTTTGTCATTCCTAAGTAATGAAAAGACACAATATGATGTCCGAATTGCATACAAGAGATCTCATAAACTAAAGAGCTCATAATGAAACATGAAAATGATCTGATGACAGAAAACTCCAAGAACTCTTGAATGAAGAACACTAAGAAACTCACTGAGATGTATTTAATTCTAAAAAAGAGTAAGATGAAAGGGACTAATGCCAACATTTACTTTCAAAGTTCTTTTGAAGAAATGAGAGGATGTCAGAACAAGGTCTTAGAATGGCAACCAAACCAACCAGGTTGAGGTCAATAGGCTTGGGGGTCTCTACAACTACAATGCTAGATATTAATCATTTCTGAAAAATCTTGAAAAAGACAGAAGGGCAATCAACATTGGACAGATTCTTTAATGCCTACAAAAGGAAAAAAAATATGAATGATAAAAATGCAAATTGTATATGTATGTATTCATATTATTAGACTGCAATTTGAAAAGATTGTATAAATATACAATCTTTTCAAATTGCAAACCTATAAATTACCACTGTCGTCCATCTGTCATTCCTTAATCTTGAGAACAGAGTTAGATAGATGAAAGCCAAGACGAGATATGGAAAGATTAGGAACAGCAGGTCCAAATATATATATGAACTTCTGGTGTAAACTGGATGTCACATTATTTCAATTAAAAAGTTTTCCCTTGAAAGGAATTAGATAGATGACTAGCACAACTTTATTGCTAATGGAAAAGTATGATGCACAGAGGCAAGTCACTATGAATTTACGGTAGAGAGCATACATTTTAAATTAAAAAATTATTAAAAATATTCTGCAGAACCATGTTGTCAATATACAGTTCAGTGACAGTAACTGATACTTTAAACTTTCTTCAAAGGAAACCACAGTCATTCCATGCTCACAGGATTGAAAGTCTGCAACCAAGGTGGTGAGATTGATGGATATTGATGGTGATTACTAGGGTTTCTCATTTCCCGGTCTTTTGCTTGTCCCGGGATCCCGGGATAAAAGTGAACTGTTTCCCGGGATAGAATTAATTATTTTTAAGGTATACAAAATATCTTGAAATCAAATGATATAATTATTTTCCATTTTTTAAAGTAATTTTAAAGTTCTGTAACCTCCAAAATCATATTAATAATGCTGTGTAAGGTCTATAGGCCTATAATAAAAATTACCTTTAAATAACGTAGAAATTTTCACAAATAGAAAAAAATTAATTAAAGTTTGCTGGAAACTGCATACAACAACAACAAAAAAAAAGCTTTGAATTGAGTTAAAAATTAAAAAAAATGAACTTCTAATTTAGAAGGTAATTTTCGTTTTTTAAATAAAATATAATACAAAATATTGCAAACTTTTATAAGATTTTAAAAAGCAAAGATGGTCAATACTCCGATAACTCACTCTAATTCTTATTTTAGTAATGAAAAGTCTTGCCACCGAGAATGCCCTTTCCGATTCAATTGATGTGATTGGAATAGTGTTTAATGCATTTAAGAGAAGACAGATATTATGTGTTTTTTCACCTGTAGCCTGGAAGATTTCGAGTTCGTTTTCGAGATTGTAGTACTTCTTTCGCTCTCTAGTATTCTTGATTTGTCTACCTTGGCTGCTTTAATAGCGGCATCAAGCTTAGAGCTCGATAATTCGGCAATTCATTTGGCTTTAATAATCAGGTTTATGAAGAAAAACTTCATACTTGCAGACTTTGTACTCGTTTGTATCCTTGCCCAATTTGCACAATCTGGCGTCAGGCATTTATTGAAGCTACTGGGCATGGTTAAAACTCAAGACAGCGTAAGCACAATTATTCCAGATATTACAGGTTCCGACAAGTAAAGAATTTTTATAGTCCTGCCACAAATAAGCTATATATTGATTATTGACCATTTGTGACATGCTATAACGAGCAAAAATTTAAAAAAACTAATAGGTAGGTTTAAAATTAATAAATACAAATGTATTCTGGCAGTGAATGAGTTAATTATGCTTTCTATTTGCAAAATTCCTCAACCTTAACACAAAATAAAAAAAAAAAAGAATTTTTAAGAAATTTGCGGGATTTCCCGGGATATTTCCCGGGTTAAAAAAACAACCGGGATCCCGGGATCCCGTTTGAGAAACCCTAGTGATTACCTATCAGGCTGAATTGTAATCATGTTGAGTTCATTCTTAACATTGTGGAAAAAAAATTTCTAAATTTCATCTTTATATTCTGATAAAATTACAGTATTATGCCAATGAAACTTTTTACAATAGTTTTAAATTGTTACTTTATAGAAATGAATTTAATACAATAAAAAATTTAATTTCTAAGAAAGGCACAAAAATAATAGAAAACAATATACAAATGCTTGAAAATAATAATGTCATATTTTAAATCATTAGAATGAGCACATTGCCTGGTAGAGAAGCTTTAATACAGCTGAATAAACAATCTAATTGTATAACAATTTCATTTATAAAACAGACTGTCATTGGTTTGCTTATCTAGCTGTACTAGAGCCACTTTACAAGGCAACATGCCAAATATTTTACATAGACATTCAGAATGATAAATAAAAATGATTAGATAAACATCTGAATTATAATAATATGAAAAATAATTTTAAATATTTTAAGAAATTTTTAAAATATTTAAAATTATTTTTTAATAAGTCCGATAATGATATACAATTATTACTATTGCAATTATTCAAATAAAACTTAAAACAGAAGCATACAAGTTTATCACAAATAAAATACAAGCATGCAAAGAAGTTTATCATAAATAAAAATGTTTATAAATTATATATCATATGGTAACTATGGCTTTTAAGTGTAATAATACAGCTCTTTTGTGAAGTTTATTCAATTTGGTATTTTTGACAAAAATTACCAATAAAACTTTTCTTATTTGAAATGATTTAAAAAAGGATGTGTTTCTATTTTAAATAAATTAAACTATTTGTGGAAAATTTTAACCCATTCTCTTGAGTTTACATTTTTCTATTGATATGAATATCAATATTCAATAAATTACATATTTAAAGTAAAATTATAGACATATTTCTTTCTCAATGTTTTAATTAATAAGTTAATTTCAAATTTATATTTTGTCATTCAATCCTACTGATGTTTAGATCTAACATTAAGCAGGCAAACACGAACAGTAACAAAAAAGAACTTTATTAAAAAAGGTTAGAACTGTCACAGACATCCTCGGGCAACACCCGGACAAAATCCAACGAACTTTCGCGCCTTTTCTTTTTTTGACGTTGCCAGACAGAGTTCGTGATCTTGGCAAGTGTTGCCAGACAGTGTTCAGGATCTCTGGCGCTGGCGGCCACAATATTTAAAGAAATTTTCTAATTTCATGTAATTAGAATCATTCAAAAACAAATATCAATAAAATAAAAATAAGATTCACAAACAATAACATTTTATATACAAATACCTGGTAAATTTAAAGGAATACATATAAGTGATTTGTTTCTGTGTGGATGACCATCACTAGTGTTTGCCAAAAGACACATCCAATCTGCTTGCAGTCCATTTGAAATCCACATCTTACTTCCATTAATAATTAAATCATCTCCTTTTCTAACAGCTGTAGTTTTTATACCTACATAATTTTATATTTAATTAAATTAATGTTTTCAATTTAGTCAAAGAAAAATTATTGCAGAAATAAATGTTTTTACATCAAATAATTATAAATAAATGAGATTTTTTAAATATATAACAGATATAAAAATAAAATTAAGTACTACCTACCAGCAACATCTGAACCTGCCCCAGGTTCACTTACTCCCAAGCATGATACTTTATCTCCAGAAATGGATGGGACTAAAAATTCCTGCTTTAATTCTTCACTTCCAAAGCTGATTAGAATATAACAATAAGTGAAATACAAAGAATCATATTTTTAAATTTTAATATGTTAATATTTTAAAAATTCTCATAAAAATATTGTTCTTTATAATATGTTATGTTAGCAATACAATCAAAAATTAGTGTGAGAATCTGGAAATTCAGAAGAGGGTCATTTTGAAAATTAACAAAGTAGAGAAGAAGAATTATAAAATTTAAGAGAAAATAATATTTTTAAACTTCAATGAATTTTACAAAAAAACGGATGAAACTTTCGATTTTGAAAGGAAGTTGATTTCCTCTCCCAGGTTGACTCATGATGAGTCGCATAAGTTTTGCACATGTTACTGGAGAGAAAATAAAAGGGACGTTTTCCCACCATCCGAGGCAGTCTGTCGAAAAGAGGTTGCCACACGAAAAGAGCTCGCCATAAGCTAAAGGCAGTCGTCATACAAAGTGTACGTCATACAAGTCCATTATATGAATTAGTTAAATGAAAGTTATAAATATATATAGCAATAAACAAAGTATACGACAAGATTGTTAAAAGAGAAGTTATTTAAAGGACTTTCCAAAGAAACTTTTAGAAGAAAAATACCCAGAATTGAAGAAGATTCTCATTCAGAGAAATATTCGAAATTACCTGGTGAAGGTAATATGATCACAGTTAGATCGATGTGAACTCTCTCTCACGCATCAGGTTTAGAATAAGATTAGGTTAAGTTAGTAGAGTAGTTTAGGTTTAGGTTCATTCTTTTGTATACTTTTATATTTTGATTTATTAAATGTTTTGTTTATCATTATGAAAATGGTTTGGTTAATATTGGTTATTCATACTCATTTGTATTTAAATTTCCTTCGCTCCTCTTACTCACAAGTTAGGGATCACGCATGTTAATCCGCGTGTAAAATAACTGATTAACTGGTGTCAAGGATCCTGACGAGATCTAAGATTCATCCTCTAGATCCTTCTTTTAACATTATAAAAAGCCCTGCTATAAAAAGACTTAGAGATCGAATCTTGCAATTTTGTGCCGATTAAGTGGTACCAATTCTATGGAGTGTATCCCCAGCTTATCTCACATTAGTTTGTTCAAAGATCTTCATTATTTATGCTATGTTGATTGTTACCTATTGTATAAACATTACATTTCAAAACTAACTATTATTAATTTTCATTGCTAGTATTATTCTTTTCTGGTATTCAATTCCTTTTTGTTAAAGTATAATAAAAATTAAAAAATAATACTGAATATACCAGATTTTACATATTAATCATAACAATGTTCAAAAATTCATCATAAAATGCAAAACATAAGTGCAATTGTTGCAAAATATTAACATGTTTATCTTTTGCAATGTGACTTATTAATAGATCATAAGCTGAAGCTATCTGAAAATAGGACAAAAACACTCCATGGCAAATTTAAACAGTTGACTACCTGAAATTAAGCATTTAATATAAATATTAGATCAAACTATACAACATTAACACAACTAAATGGCATGCATCTTTGTAGAATAAAATTTATAAATAAAATAAAACCAACATGTAATGATCACCAAGGTTCTTAAGTATACCTAATTCTGTTTTTACATGATATAATATAATAGAACATGTTTGAAGAAAATATTTCAATTTTAGTTAATAAATCAAAGGAGAATTATAACTTACTTGTTAGCAAAATTTAATAAATTTATATTATTCACACAAATTTTATTTTAACTTAACTTTTCTTTTTTATTTTATTTAAAATAAACAATCATAGCTTTTAACATCAAACAGCATGTAACTTCACAACCAACAACTGTCTACCCTTAACCATTAACCGGTGCGAAATTCTTTAAAATCGGCGAACGTTTTCGATTCCCCTCCTGGGATCTTCTTCAGGCTTACTTCTTTATATCTTTCGTTATAACCAAGGTTCTTTATATCTTTCGTTATAACCAAGGTTCTTCACAACCCGGTGTGGTAAGAAAGCATATTAATTAAACAGCATGTAAAAACTATTCCATATTTTGTAAAAACTCTTTCCCCTTGTGGCACCAAGAGAGCTTTTTTTCATTGTGGGTTCAGCTCAGCCAAGGCACACAGCAGGCCTGGCAAACCCACAGTAGAGCCAACAGATAATAAATGATGAGTGGTGTCAGATTGGTAACAAATTTTGGCCTGGGCCTAGAAATCCAAATATAGCCATATATATATAGGGCTATATTAGAGCTACACCTGTTATATGGATGGCTAAGGCTGTTAAGGTTTTAACCTACTGCTCTGGAGTAATCAGGATCGAATTCAGGCAATACCAAGTATTGGTCCAATATGGGTCTTTCACAACAGTCTATGGCCCATGATCAGTTACTTTCAAATTAGAAGTTAAAAATGCACTTTGTGACAGAATGAATGTTAGTTTGCAGGGACTGTACATGGCAGCTACAGCCTGAATTATAATAAGATTTTCTTTTTAATTTAATAAAATAAACAGGTAAGCAAAAATACAAATGTTGTCTATTAATTTATTTTCTCAAATGAAATATAATGTGAGAAACCGGAGGCAAAGGGGAGATTCCCTAAAGACCCCTTGGTCCATGACAGTTTGGCAAAAATTGCTCACTTTGTCACTGGATGGCTATTAGAGAATATGTTGTCGGGATTGCAAGATCTTTCCAACATCAGGACCTGACACCAGTTAAGAGGGTTAAGCATTGTCTTAACATGTGAAACATGAACAAATGTTGAGTAGGAGGGTCAATTCAAATGTTGAGTGGGAAGCATGGTGAGTAAGTCAATAGGGTGACATTAAGACAGGTAGATCAATTAACAAACAACAAAAGTTTAATATAACTATAAGCTAGAGTATACAGGATTCTATGAAAACTACTATATACAAAGAGTAATTATGCCAAAGCTACGTGACTAAACAGCTGAGTATGTTGCTCACAAGGTTCTTGGGAAATTGTTCCCATTCTATCTACATTTAAGGAGAGAAAGAGAGAGTTTACATATGGGCTAACAAAATACCTCTGAGAAAGAGATGTTGTTATCTATTTCCCTGGAGGAGTATATGGTGTTCTAAGGTGAGCTGTGGTCTATGTCGTATGGCAGTTCTAGCCGGTACTCTCTATGGCTGAGTATGTCCACTCTGGGGAGGTTCGCCCTGGAGATGTCCGTCTGGATATGGGAATGTGTCCATTGGTGTCCCCCTTCTATGGTGGTTTCTGCTCTGTATGGTGAGACTGGTAGCAGTCTGCTTTGTATGGCACTGGGAGATCCACCCTGATTATGGTGAGTTTGGAGATATACTCTCTGTATTGTCTCGGGGAATGTTCACACTGAGTCTCAAGTTGTAGCCTCTTTTATCCTCCTGAGGCCTGGGAAAACCCATCAGATGATTGAATGTTTGGAGACGAAGTTGCAAGTGTGAGGTCAGAGGTTGCTGTCGATGACACTAAGTGTCGTTTAAATGAAGCTGATAGAACCATATTTGGTTTGAGACCTGTAAGATTCATCCTGTTTACTTATTGGAAGGTTGACTTTCCCCTCTTTTAATGATAGGTTGTTATAATTTAACACTAGATTGTTATAATTCTTTAACAGCTGTTTATGAAAAGGGTGATATTCAATCCATTTTCTGTGCGATGTTTTCTTAATGATCGTGATGGAGAAATAGGTTAAAAATTTCCTTAATTTTGAGCAAAATCAGGTTCTCCATTTCACAATACCATATATTAAAATAAAGAATGGCCAATGAGTAAACAACCCATCACTCAATATGTTAGACCATCCTGGATATGTTATGAACAGGGCCCAACATATCCAGGGTAACTACTCATGAAAAATTCCTTAAGTTTTTTAACTTCTCAGATTTGATGGGTGACCCATCAAATCTGAGAAGTCAAACTGTGATCACCCAGTGTGACAAACTGATGCCTTAACTACCTTAGTTATCCAGTTATCACAATTGCACAATGAAAGAAATTGAAAGAAACTCAATCATACAAACAAATTGTCAAAAGTCAAAATTTGAATTAAAACTTTTCTGATTACTTCTGTTATGGAATAAAGTCGGAATGAAAGATATTTGAATAAGTCATAAAAACCAGTCAAATCTTAAAATTTACTTCAGCACCTATAACATCCTCATATATAAATTTCTTTTTAAAGAAAGTACAATTTTCTAGAAAAGGAAGTATATTTTTTCTTAGAATTAAAATCAAATGACAATTTTTAAAAAGGCAAATTTATTGAAACATTATATCAAAACAAATTACATAAAAAGAATTGAATTTTTTTCCATAACACATTAAATTAAAACTGTGAAAAAAATCCATATAAAACAAAATCTGTGTACTAGTATATCTTATGTATAAATTTAAATATTTTGATCATTAATTGTCAAAAATTTTACAAGCAGAATTGAAGTAAAAACTTACTTTTATATATATAAATTGTGATTTTATCACTGTATTACACAATTTATTTGATTCTCTTGAAAAGTCTACCATCAGTGAGAGAAATAATAAGTAAAATAGCAATATAATACTTCAATACATATAAAAATTGCTTTATTACAACACACTTCAATACTTCAATACAATTCTGAATAGTTACAGCTGTATAGACCAACCTCAAAAATACAACTGTCTTCAGAAACTGCATTGAAACGCAACTTTTATATTTATTGAAGTTGAAGAAGAGTTGTTTGTTTATTTCAAAAATATAGCACTTTTAATAAATACTGTTATNGTTGCGCCAGTTGCCATAAGGACTTCCTAAATAAACTTTTGCCCTTTTTTTAATGACATGAAAAGTTTTAAAGAATATCAAGTTATTGAAAGTACGTCTAGCACCTGCCTGTAGTACCAAATTACTTATAAGTTCATTATTAATAGTAGCAGCAAAGTAGCTCGATTCAATACAGAAACTGTTTGGCTTATTATTAAAAAACATCAGGCTTTGAGATGTTTATATATATATTTGAAGACTGACTGACAACACTACACTATCCTTAACTGGAGTTGGTTGGCAATACTTGTTTACAGTGTGCAAAACTTATTGTATTGTCTGTGCGTCGGCCAAATGTGTAGATGTTTGATATGGTTGCTCTGACTACGTATAAAAAAGTTTTGTTACAGTTCGTGTGGTGGTAAAATTTGATTTAAACTGGAATCACTCAAACGTGATAGCATTCGACTACCTAGCATTAGTATTTGAAGAAAAATCGGTAGGATAGAATGCCAAAATATATCTTTTTTATAAATAAATGCTCAAAGAATAAATGTTCAAAACTTATAATTCCATCAGTGAGAGAAATAATAAGTAAAATAGCAATATAATACTTCAATACATATAAAAATTGCTTTATTACAACACACTTCAATACAATTCTGAATAGTTACAGCTGTATAGACCAACCTCAAAAATACAACTGTCTTCAGAAACTGCATTGAAACGCAACTTTTATATTTATTGAAGTTGAAGAAGAGTTGTTTGTTTATTTCAAAAATATAGCACTTTTAATAAATACTGTTATCACTTCATAAAATTATTAAACTACATAAAATCATACTTTACTAATGCTGGTAATGTCATGTCTGTATGAACTGTAATTGACATAGGGACACCACCACAGTTTATATACGCTAATTCCTCAAGGAAAGCAACAGTAAAAGAATAATCAAGTCCAAGTCCTCCATATTCTAAAAATTAAAACAAAAATGTATAAAAACCACAAATGTATATACAGTCAACCCCCCTATAACACTGTTGATTATTCCATTTTATATGAATTCCATGTTGTACGAGTCACTTAGATTTTACAAATAAGTGTGCATGGCTAGGAATGGTTCACATATTTGTAAAATATAAGTGACTCGTACAACATGGAATTCATATAAAACAGATTACTGTAATCAACAGTGTTATAGGGGGGTCAACTGTACAGTCGACCCCCCTATAAGATAGAGATACGTTCCATTCTCTAGGAATCCGCTTTCTTACGAATCCTTCCAATCACAACCCGACACGTGTAAAGTTTACGGACTACGGCTGTTTGAAAGATTTTCTTCCATAAAATTAATCGATTCTAGACTAATCCGACTCAACATTTCCAAAATACGTATATATTTTTTGGGAATAATCCGTATAAACTACGCTATAAACAAAAAATTGTAGGATTACTTACCGAGTGTCACCATTCGACATTGCCATTGCTCAACATTGTTTTCGTCGCGGAACAGCTCAGCAAAGAGCGGCCGATTTCTAACAACTTATTTTTCTGTGAAAACTTCGTAGAACTTCGGAGACATCATTAATATAAATAATTTTAATCGCCGTTGAATAAGAAATGTTTCTTTCACAAGAAATGTATAAAATTACAGTACTGTATTAGACTTACGGTACCTAATTTACATACTGACAGACGATAGTTAGCGTAAAAATCTCCGTAGCGTGGCGCCACGCTAGACGGCGGAAATTATATATTTAATTATAACAAAGTTACAATAAGTTAATATATAATTATATATACAGTACCTAATTTATATATAATTAATATATAATTATATGTACAGTACCTAATTTATATATAATTTATATAATACTGTCCAGACGATAGAAATCTCTCCGTAGCGTGGCGCTACGGACGGCGGGAAAGTAGTTCGGCTTCCCGATGACGTTTGAGGTGTTTATAGGGAACTTTTACTATTTTTTACGGATACCGGTAGCAATTTTTTCGTAGTTTTATAGGAATCGTAACTATAGGGACCGTAATTATAGGGGGGTCGACTGTAGTTTTCTTATGTTTAATTATTTGTTACTATCAAATTTATTAATATTCAACCGTATTAATTAATTTTAAACATATGAAACTATATTATCTTTGATACTGATCAATACTATGCTAATTGTAAAAATAATTATTTAAAACAAATATCCTAAATAAAAAGGATTAATTAACATTAAAAATTTTATTTATATTAAAATTTAGTCTAAATATTTACAACCACTAAACAACTCATATTCTTCTATTGTAAATAAGAATGAGAATTTTCAGAAAGTAGATTAAATTAATATTTTACTAAATATTTTAGAATATTCTGGAAGAAAAAAGTGGTCAGAGCAAGACTTGAACCTGCAACTCCTACCTAATGTGAGGATGAGGGAGTTGAGGGCTTGAGTTTGAAAATTTGATTATAAATATTAAAATTTAATAAGAGATAGTGTCTAGCACCTGCCTGTAGTACCAAATTACTTATAAGTTCATTATTAATAGTAGCAGCAAAGTAGCTCGATTCAATACAGAAACTGTTTGGCTTATTATTAAAAAACATCAGGCTTTGAGATGTTTATATATATATTTGAAGACTGACTGACAACACTACACTATCCTTAACTGGAGTTGGTTGGCAATACTTGTTTACAGTGTGCAAAACTTATTGTATTGTCTGTGCGTCGGCCAAATGTGTAGATGTTTGATATGGTTGCTCTGACTACGTATAAAAAAGTTTTGTTACAGTTCGTGTGGTGGTAAAATTTGATTTAAACTGGAATCACTCAAACGTGATAGCATTCGACTACCTAGCATTAGTATTTGAAGAAAAATCGGTAGGATAGAATGCCAAAATATATCTTTTTTATAAATAAATGCTCAAAGAATAAATGTTCAAAACTTATAATTCAATGTGTACATAAAATATAAAATAATCTTTACAGTTACTACATCAAATTTTAATTTTATCTGCAAATAATGATAAAAATATGGTCAAAACTTTTGAAATTCTCCATCATTTTGACAAAAGTTTATTTACTACTATTAAAAAAGTTCAAGTTTAAAACTATTTTGAACATTTAATTTTTTAATTATTAAAATAATAAATTATAAAAATTATAATAAAGCCAATTGTATTTATTATAAATGAAATAATTTATTATATACAGTAGTTTAATAAATAACGACAAGCTAAAATGAAAATTATAATCCATAAAAAATATTTTGTACCTGTAGGACGCGTAATTCCTAAGACACCAATTTCTGCTAATTTTTTGAAAATTTTGTGAGCAGGATAAATTCCTTCTTCCTCCCATTGATCCACATATGGATTAATATCATTATCAATAATCTGAAATATTTATGTTAATTTAAATTTTAATAATCACTCATTTTTATATATCAAGTTAAATAAATATCGTAAATATTAATGTGATACAAAAGAAATGATCTTGTAACATCTAAAATTTATATTTATGTAAATGGTTAATTTAAAAATATATACCATATAACAAGATTTTAATCTTGATCCTAGTCTAAATAACAGAATTTTCATAAAGATGTTATATGTGCAAATTCATATATGTATTAACTACATACCAATAGTGACTATTTCTATTTGTAGTTAAATTTGAATTATAAAAACATATTGGCTATTCAGTGGCTACTTTTCAGTTAGTGATATTTGCATATGGAGTTTGCACTGGCACTTTGATAAAACGGTGCCACTGCAAAACTCCATGACACAAAAAATTACTTTCTTTGGTAGAAGTTTACTTTGGTAGTCCAAATGGCGGCACTTCCGAAATCACAACATCATGCATGTTTTGAAAGTTAATATAGGTATTTCTGTCTTTAGTTTACAAGATTTCTAACATCATTTCAGTTCTAGATTAATTTCCTAACACTTTATAACTTTGTAAAGAGTAATTTAATTATTCAGGTTCAAAAAGTTATATATTCTTGCGTGAATTTTTTTTTTTTTTGAATTTTGCATTTGATATTTTGGATATTTTGTCGTTTATTGTTGTAATGGCGGAGTTTGGAAAACATTGATGATTTTCTTGGCAAAAGTGTACTTCAAGGGATTTTTTTTCATTTTTTAGTATTGTAATTTCCCTAATTTAATTTTGACAAGAGAATTTCATCAGTTGGTATGTCTGACATAAAGTTTGGTATGCAACCTGCAGATACAAATTGTTCAAAATGTGATGGTTGTCGTAAATTAAATTATCAAAAGGATCGTAATTCTGTTTCTTTTAAATGTCATAAATGCATAAACAGTTTGTCATATGAAGTAATTTTTCAATGCAAATTTGGAAAAATTTCTTGAGGAACTATGTTTTTGTTTATTTGACATCTAATTTGTATAGAATGTACAGTACATTGAGTGTCACTGTTTGGCTGTGGGCATGAGTAGTCAAACAGCTGTTGACTAGGCAAATTTCATATGACAGGTAAAAATTGTTTTATAGTCTAATTTTACTGGAATGAAAATTGGATGGACCTGAAAAAGTTGTCAAAATCGAAGAAATTGTTGTGAGCAAAAGGAAAAAATTAGGAGAACTGTTCAACCTGTTTGTTCAGCATACGAGTAAGTTTTATTCAGGAGCAGGTTCTGTTTTAGTTTGAAAAGTGCCAAAGATTGTACCTTCAGCCCAGAAAGTAAGTACCAATAAATCCAAAAATTGTTAGAGGAAGAATGTAGACGTGTGTTAAAGAATGCAGAAAAAATTTCTACGATAGAAAAGGATGAAGTTACGAAAGAATCATCCAAACCATGTTTTTTACTGAATAAATTAAAGAAAATAAATTAGAAATATGTCAAAGTGAGTGAAAGATTTTTTTTCTTTAAATGCCGGTGTAGTAAGTAGTTGCGCCAGTTGCCATAAGGACTTCCTAAATAAACTTTTGCCCTTTTTTTAATGACATGAAAAGTTTTAAAGAATATCAAGTTATTGAAAGTACAAGTTCCTGGGATCTACTGTAGAATCCCAAAGTATTTATAAATTTTTTGTTATATTACATTTCAAAATAAATTCAAATTTTTGATATTACTATTATTTTATAAAAGTAATATATGAAATATTTATATATATAAACATCCCAAAAATCCAATGTATTAATAACAATTAATTATTACATCAGGTTCTTGGGATAGATATATATATATATATATATATATATATATCACTCACCNCCAGTGGGTATTGAATACATCCCGAGGCAGTGGACAATTTCTGCCCAATTAATTTGACTAACGGTTGGTTATTATTGAAATATTTAGTAAAAATGAAAGTTTAATATAAAATTTATCCTCTAGAATAAAACAAGATCATTTAACATAAACAAATTTAAATTATAAATGAATTATTAGTGTATTGAACATAAACTTCATTTATTAAAGAAAATGTGTTCAGAAAATATCATCATCAACAAATCCCATTAGCTTGCCACTGGGCAAGCTAATAATGGGATTTGATGATGATATTTTGTCTTGTTTAACCTAGTAGACATTAGGTTTAAAACCAGAAAGAACCAGGGTAGATTTATGGAATTTCTATAAAAAATAATAATATTGTTATTATATAAACAAAGATTATTCTTTATTAGATCTCATTAAGGCACAGTGTGAGTTTATATAATTTAATAAATTGGAGCTTTATTTATTATTTGTATTATTGTTATATTAGAAATAAATTTTTTAATAGAACTTAATTTCTTACTTTTATATACTTTTTACATATACTTAGTACAGTGGAGGAAAAAGTGAAATTCTAATTGCAGGAAATTTTATCATCTTGTTAAATTATACTGTATATATAACATTTCACAAATTTTTTTAAACTTTCACACATAATGAAAAATTAAGATTCATTTAAACTACAACTAATTTCATTTAATAGTCATCTTTACTTATTAAATAAGATAATAGTAATATCAAGTACAAATACTGCATTTAACTTTTTAATAATAAAATCATTGCTAAAATAAGTTCAAAATAATTAGTTGGTCAAGAGGAAAAAATCAATTGCTTAATCTAGATATATTTCAAAACATTGCACAATACATGAAATTAATTTTCCTTATTTTATCTTATAAGTTTAGCAACAAATATTTATCTAAAAATTTTATTTAGGTTAAATAATGCATTTAACCAATGTCTATTTTTGGATGTTATTCTGGGACACTCTTTATTTATCTACTTGCATATCACTTGCAATTTTAATAGCATATAGTTAAAGAAAATAATTACTAATTTTACTATTTTGTGTTTTATTACCTTCCTAACGCTTTTCCTCATTTCTTCGTGTTCTTGAGTGAACTTAATACTGACTCCATACTCACTACTTCTACTTGACGGGGTTATATAAAAAAATCTTCTACTTTCGTTCCTCGTAACTTTTGCAGATAAACACTGTAAAAATCTAGCAGACTGCCTTTGCACAAATCGATATTTAAACATTGTTGAACGAATTGAACGAGCTTTAATTAACTGGAACAATAACAACAGATGACTTGCGATTAATCGTTTCTTAATCGGATAAGAAATATCAATACAAACGAAACAAGAACAAAATTATCAACTAACAAGTAATCAATACATATCGATAACAACCTCGTAAACAACTAACAAGTTCGACCACGTGGTTTCAAGATAACATGTAGTGATTGGACGATTTTAAATTTAAATGAGAGTAATTGATATATTTTTGAAATCAAATAAAAATATTTACTTTTAATAGCTGGATGTATATTATTACAATTTTAATATTTTATATGATTTTCGAATTTGTTCTATCCACGAAAGTTTCCAGAATGTGTTTTTGAATCCAGATACACGAGCGCGTGTCTCGCAGCCTTTAAAATACTTTTTTTTAAAAACTCTTTCCGCCCTTTGGACACTAAGAGGGCCTCTTTTAGCAAAGCCCATTATATGTTCAGCCAGGCCCACAATGGATGGCCGGGTGGTGAGGGCGGAGACCAATATATTCGGACGGACACGCCCCGAAAAATTCCTGGGGATTTATCGACCGATTCGGAGTCCCCAGAGTAGTAGGCTGCCACCTTGACAGCTCGGCTATCCGCCGTCAATCCATTAAGATACTGCTAGTTGTTAGTGTCGATCTGCAATTTTTAGTTTCTCATTGATGACATGCCTTATAAAACCAGTTCAGATAGATATTGTGCAATGGTTGGCTGCCATAATGGCCAGAATGTTCTTTATATATGGTTTGAAACTGTATGAGATGTGACACGAAAACATGATGAATCGAGATTGTCCGTGTATTCAACCGTTCCAGTTACATTCATTTCTACGTGATGAAAAATGCATGTACAGTACTATACATCCAATTAGATAAATAACTCTGTATGGACTCCAACTAGATAAATAATACTGTATGGACTTGTGTGTCACAAGACACACAAGTCCATGCAGAATTATTATTTGTAGATGGAGTTTGTGATGGCTCTACATTGACAAGTGTTTTGTGACAATTTATTAATTAAAATTTCACCTACGTTACCACTTGGAAAATGATTATAAGAGTCAAGGCTCCTATAATTAAGCATTTCTTGGTAATCACAGACTTTACTTTTAATAAGATATTCAATTAAAGCTGGATATTCCGAAGGTGGCATTCTCCCATGTCATTATTCCACGATTTCTTAGTACTAATTGATGAAAATAAATTAAAAATACAAGTTTGTATTTTTAATTTTTTTTTTTTCTTTGATAGAAAAATTTTAAACTTGTGTAAAAACGATTAAAAATATAATTCAAAATATCAAAACCTTTAAAATCACAAACAAAGTAGGCTTTATGAACGAATTTCTATTTACATGCCAAACTTGTAATTCTCGTTGTTATTCAAATTTCTGTGCTAAATTTGCCTATAATTAGGCCAAATTACGTGGCTTGAGTAATAGCGTCATCTCGTTAACGTCAGTTCCATATTAATTTAAATTAATCAGTTTAGAACATTGAGATCGAAGATCAGATGGTAAGTTGGAATGCGATAAAGATAAGATAATTAGTCTTTATAGTACAAGATGGCGGCTTATCCGCACTTTTAAATTATATAGTTTGATTAATTAATCAAGCGTTAAGCTTAATTACAGCCCAAAAATCCGTTACATATATTTTTGGATAAAAATTCCAGGATTGATTATGTCTTGTGTACATATATTGTGTGTTTCTTGTCGAACGTAAATTGAATTGAACGTTTAATAAAGACAGAAAAGATTTTCTTCAGTTTCTTGTCTTTTCTATCATTTAAAAATTCGATTTAGCGATTAACAAACAGAACGTCTGCCTTCCGAATTATTTGAATTTTTAAACCGAGTTAGTAGCGATTTTTCATAGCCGACAGTTGACACTGACTGAAGAGAAAATTATTAAATTGTGTGAATCGATGAATGTTACTAAAAATGACGTTGTCCGTTACAAGACAAAGTCCGTTAAGATTACATAGAAATTCATTAACTTCAGTTTCACCAACACCTAATTTTTTGTTGAGTTTAAAATTCGTTTATTTTTACATACGTTTTCAACCTATTTACTACTCTGTGCTATAGGTCATCGTCAGGTTTACTATAAATGTTCCAATATAGAATGTACCGTTTACGAACATTTTGCATTTTAAAATAAATTGAAAGAAGTGTGTATATTAAATAAATAAAAATAATTAAACAAATAAAACATAGTAAACAAAGTGAACTATAAAGAAACATGATTTAAGGATTTCTGTCTCTTTTTTTTCCCTTTTCATCCCTTTCTATTATATAATTTCATGTTGTTAAAAGCGCATTAGTATTCCTAGCATTTAGGCAACGATCTTTCATTTTACTTTTATAAATTTCCACCTTTTCCATCTCCAACGCAATGGACGGAGATGCACCGTTTTAATGACTTTTGCCTCTTTTGCTCCTTCAGTCTTCCATAATCGCTAATATTGTGTGTCAACGTTGCATCTATGCTTTCGCAGACGTACCGCCAGGTTTCTTCTAGTCACACCCAAATAATCTTTTTTTGATTCCTAATTGTTGATTTTCAAATGGTATTTTATACATCCCAGCTTTCTCTTCCTTTTTTACGCCATCTTTATCGTTCCGTAGTAAGCTATGGATATTGGGTGCTCTTTTATAGACAATTCTCGAAATTTTATAAAAAACTAACTCATTCACCACACCTCCTAAATGCCTATTGTATGTGAATTTGTTAATTCCTTCTGAGCTATTATCTTTTTTGTCTTTATTTTCTCTGTTACTTTTGATCAGCCCTTCAATTGTGACGGTTTTGTAACCCAAAGTTGTTGCAACACTTTTAATTCTATTTATCTTTTTGAGACGGTCTTGCACGTTGGTACAATATTGAAAACACTCTTCTGATGAGTGCTTTAAATGCTAATAATTTATATTTATACGGGTCATTGAACCAAGATGGTATGTAGAGAGGAGCATGTGTGGGTTTTAAATACACACCCATGAGTATATTTCCTTGTTTAAATCTTGTATCAAGGTCCAAAAAATGAAGATGAGTATAGCCTTTTTGTTCTAGTTTTAGTTTTAAACCATAATTATTATTATTGATTGAAAGTAAAAATTCTTGAATTCGTCGTTTATTTTTCCAAATTATAAATACGTCATCGACATATCGTTTGTAGATTATAATATCCTCGACGAAATTAATTAATATACATCTATGTCCTTAATTTAATCAAAATTATTCTTTCAATCACTATATCAGTGTATTTCTATCATACTGGTGTATAAGATTACAGCCTCACAGTTACACAGATTAAAATTGTTTTATAAAAATAAAAAGATAAAAATAAAACAATTTTAATCTGTTTAACCAGTATGATAAGTCCTATTAATAGAAATACACTGATATAGTGATTGAAAGAATAATTTTGATCCTCGAGGAAATCTTTGAGTATGTCTTTTTCCAGCTCACGTAGCACTAGTTCTCACAGAAGTCCTGACATAAGACTTTCCATTGTGACACCTATCTTTTGTTTATATGTCACCCCACTGAATCTAAAAAAGGATCAAGTCTGCTAGATTCAGCGGGATGACATACAAAAAAAAAAGAAAAAAAAAACAAGGTGTCCCAATGGGAAGTCCTATGTCAGGACTCCAACTTCATATTTTTCTTTGTTTTCCAGGAAAATGAGTGATGGCTGACAAAACTGTGAAACCAAATTTATATCTGCCTCCGAGTATCAGCCCCGTTATGGTTGCCAAACTCGTCATTCAGATTTTAGAATGTAAGAGATCATCCTGTAAATGTAAAACCAGCAAAGAAATATTGAATTTTGCAATGAAAATACTTCTGAGCGAAGACGACTCTTCTCTTTATTCAGACTATAAGTTTCGAACGATCACCAAATTTTTTTCATGCGCAGGTACGAAGAACGTTGCCACACAAACAAGACGTTGGAAACGTAATTCTTGTACCATTCAGACTGACTTAGAAACTGTGATACCAAAGAAATCTATTTCTGTATATACCGAAAAGACTGGATTCAAGCTCCTTCAGAGCAAAATCAAACAGCGAATTTCGAATGGTTCTACTAAATCAGTTTCCACGCAAGCTAATTCATTAGAATTTGTAAATTGCTTTTATAACAGAAGCAACAGCAATAGTAAAGTTGTGGCAGCAACGAATAAATTGCGCAGAGTCACAATTACAGAAGGAATGCCATTACAAGGAAACTCTGCAGAAGTTCAAAAGATTCAACATCTCGACGAATGTTTTTTCAACTGGGCACCTAGACAAGCTTGTCCGGGTGATCCGAGTATTAAACTTCGGTGTGAAAACGTGAATTTAGATTATCGAAATCCGAAAAGGGACATCTCTCACAATAATGCAGAATTACCCCTTATTAAGAAACAGAAAATGGACTATGATCCAACGGAGAACGAACTATTTTCGAGTAGAAAAGCCGAAGAAATTCGAACGCTTCAGAGCGCCACTCCAGAATTCTCGCCTGCAAGTACCGAAAGATTGTACGATTCTATAAAACTCCAAGAAAATAATATCAATAGAAAATTGGAGAAACACTCGTGTTTTTATGAGACTGTTTCAGAAGCTACTTCACGCGAGGTAAATAAAATAAAAGAAAAACTTGGCATTAAATATCGAATATGTTCAGAAAGTTTTCAGCACAGTTATTTACGCTTAAATAACGAAAAGACGAATCATGTACTAAGCAACAAAGTTTTTGATTTGACAGAGCGCCAGCATCTGAGGCTTTCTCCTGAACGTCTTAATAGTCCATCGGTCTTTACAATAAGTTCTATATCTCTCAATCAACAATCAGAAAATTTAAATAAAATTGAGGACTTTGATTCTAAATGTTCAAATTTTCACAAAAACGAAAGTTTCTTCAATGACACAAAGTCCTCTTTAAAAAAAGCTAATTTTATAAATGTCGAGAATGGTGAAAAGACCCAGTCCATGCTGCCATACAAAATGGAATATTGCATTAATTCGTGCAAATTAGATAAAAACACAGCAAAAGTCCAGAAAGAAGTTACCAAAGATTCTAGTTCTGATGATTATTTACATAATTTACAACATGGCGTCTATTTAAATGAAAGGCAAGAATATGAGCAAACTTTACAAAATGAATGCAGTCCGAAAGATGTAAGCAAAGTTTCGTATCAGAAACTCAACACTCTTAATTGCAAAAGAGATTCTCAAAATTTTGGAATATCAGAACGCAACATTATGGATAAAGAAAGCATCGAAGTGTATTCACCAACTGACGAACTGAGTATGTGTAGCGACATGGAAGTGTCGTATACTCCACCGGTCCATCCTTTATTGAACTTAGATTCTGATAAAAATGCTGCCGCTGATGCCGAAAAGGCTACTACGGTCTCGAGTAAAGAATTACACAATTTTGATAAAATTTCTGAGTGCACCACTCAAGATATCATCGAATCTGTAAATGCGAAACCGGATCAACAGAAAGAAGGATCCGAAATGATTCAGAATTACGCGTTTATGAACAACTGGATGAAGACAGTAGCGAGATATCTACAGTGCACTACCAGACATTTTACCCGCCTTACTCAAGCATTTACTTATCGGAATGAATATGGTATCCTTGATGGAATGGAAATGCAGCGGGATGGCATTGACGAAGATACGTAAACTTTATAATGAGGCTCATATTTCATATTTGTGGCACGCGGTGACATTTGTACAAATCATTTGATTTTGCTCAATCATTTCTTGTGATATAGCTTAGATATCATCGAGGTCATAAGAATTGTTAAAAGGTATCAACAAATTCTTCTGTACGAAAAAATATTTAAAGGGGGTGTAGAGAAACTTTTTATATTTTGCTATATGAAGGAGTTAGAATTTTATCAGACAAGAACATCACTCTTAGTTTCTTCATTAAAAATGTTTTTAAAACAGATATTTTAAGAAAAATTATTTTCTGTACTTGTTTTAGGAATAATTTCACCTTCGTTCGTTCGTTCGTTTCTTTTTGTAATCCAGTTTCTTATTTTAATGTACTGTACTTGTACATACATAATGTAGCATATATAATATTGTATTCATTTGTACTAGTCATCAATTCCGCAATTCTACCCATCAGATTTTCATATGTAATGTCGTAATTTCGATATTTAAAGTAACATTGATCAAAATTAGACAGGTAACTGATTTAAAATTTTTTTTTAAAAAATTAAATCTGTTATTTGAGAAAATCAAATGTAATTTAATTGTGTTTTTAAATGATTTTATTATGTAAACAGCAGGGGTCGATCTCTTCTGACCACTTACTCGGCACGGATTGGAAGAACACGATCTCTGTGTCTTAGGACGGCCGTAAGTTATATTTAGATCGTGGATCCTGAAATCCCGATCTACCCAAATATATTACTCAGCTCCTTAATTAATTTAATTAAATAATAAATCATCGAACACCTGATGCTGAGATAAACCGTTTATTGAAGAAACATTAACGTTTTCGATCTAATATGATAGGCCATCTTCAGATGCAATTATTCTCGAACGTATTTAACTTAATGTTTAAACGTCAGAACGTTCGAATACTTTTACGTTTAAATCAAAATACTTGATAAAATAACAAATCTATACTAATATTATAAAGAGGTAATGTTTGTATGTATGTATGTTAGTTTGTATGCAGCAGGTAATCTCCAAAACTACTCATCCGATTTCAAAAATTTTTTCACCAATATTTAGAATGGAACTTCAGGATGGACATAGGCTGTATATTATTCCGTTAAACATGGGGGATGGACAGTTCTTTACGGTAAGCCTTACGGGGAAGGCTTACCGTAAAGAACTCTGCTTCTATTTATACTATTTTAGATAGCGGTTTTTTGCATTTTTCATTGCATTTTAATAGGGTACGTCAACAGAATGTACACTAAGAAGGGATTTTTCGATATTCCCCCCGCGGGGGAGAGGGATAGGATTAAGGCTTACTGTGAAGAACTTCACTTCTATTATACTATTTTAGATGCGATTTTTTGCGTTTTTGATTGCATTTTAATAGAGTACGTCAACAGAACGTATACAAAGAAAAGATTTTTCGATATTCCCTTCGCGGGGGAGAAGGACAGAATTAAGGCTTACTGTGAAAAACTTGGCTTCTATTATACTATTTTAGATGCGGGTTTTTGCGCTTTTGATTGCGTTTTAATAGGGTACGTCAACAAAATGTACACTAAGAAAAAATTTTTCGAAAAATTTTCCCCCACGGGGGAAGTGTTATACATTTATAATAGATACATTTTGAGCCACAACAAGGCGTGGCGGGGTCTGCTAGTAAATAATAAAATAAAACAAATATAGTAAATGAACTAATAAAAAAATAACATACGTAAAATAAAAATAAAATAAAATAAATACACAAAAAATGCCACTAAGTGTAAGGGCAGAATAAGAATTTTTTGCGTTTTAGTTTTTCTTTTATGTAGAACTTCCATTCGGAACCTAGTCCCTCTGCATCCCTGGCGTTAATACAATTATCTTTTAATTTACTTTTATATATTTAGATTTTTTCTTCGTGCATTGCCAATGATGGAGAACGCATAATCCTGAGGATAGTCGCTTCATTCCATTTAACCACAGAGTCTTCTGCTTGTGCCATACAGGATAATACTGTGTTGCAGTGCCTTTTGTTAATATCGTATTTGTGCTCCTTAAGTCTGGTAGCCAAATTCCTTCTTATGACCCCAATATAGCCCTTCTTAATTCCTAATTCCTGATTTTCAAACGGAGTTTTATATACGCCTGATTTTTCTACTTTTTTAATCATGTCTTCATCATTTCTTAAAATACTGTATATATTCGGCGCTCTTTTGAAAATCATTTTTGAGTGTTTTCTGTCGGTTACTTGTTTCATGATGTTCTTGAAGTTTCGATTATATGTGAACTTGGAGATTTTAAACTGATTTGTTTGTGTTCTTATTACTTTGCCTCCTTCATATCTTTTAATTAGCCCTTTTAATTCCCTACTGTACTCTTTTTATATCCCAAGTTTGAAGCTGTTTCTTTAATTCTATCTTTATTTTCTTCTTATTATTATTCTTTCCAGTTTATATGGAGATTTTAGCCTTTCTGTTAAGTTCTTTGATCCTGTCCAGCATATTAGAGCAATGTGAATACGCTCTTCTGATGAGTGCTCGAAAGGCGGACAGTTTGTATCCGTAGGGGTCGTTCGAGATAGCTGGAATGTACAGTGGACTATGTGTTGGTTTTACGTAGATACCTGTTGTTATACCATCTCCTTTCAATTGGATGTCTATATCCAAAAAATGTATATGTTCATGACTTTTTTGCTCTAGTTTAAGTTCTAATCCATCTCTGTTGTTATTGTTGATTACATGTACAAACTCTTGTATTTTCTTGTCGTTTTTCCAAATACTGTAATGCAGACAACGTCTACATACCTTTTGTAAAATACAACATCCATCTTGAACCCATTGATAATCCTCTTCTCCAAGTTGCGTAGGACCAGTTCACACAATAATTCTGACATCATCGATAATCGGGCTTCCCATAGGTACCCCTTTCTTTTGTCTGTAAACTTGTTTATCGAAACTGAAGAAGGACTCATAACAAATTAATTTGGCTAATTCTATCATATCTTTCGTAAATGCAGCAATTCCGGGATGCAGAGGGACTAACTTCCGCATGGAAGTTCTACATAAAAGAAAAACTAAAACGCAAAAAATTCTTATCTTGCCCTTACACTTAGTGGCATTTTTTGTGTATTTATTTTATTTTATTTTACGTATGTTATTTTTTTATTAGTTCATTTACTATATTTGTTTTATTTTATTATTTATTTGTTATTTTATCAAGTATTTTGATTTAAACGTAAAAGTATTCGAACGTTCTGACGTTTAATTTAAACATTAAGTTAAATACGTTCGAGAATAATTGCATCTGAAGATGGCCTATCATATTAGATCGAAAACGTTAATGTTTCTTCAATAAACGGTTTTTCTCAGCATCAGGTGTTCGATGATTTATTATCCCGATTAATGTCAGATCTGACACTAGATAGGGATTTATCTTGCGCCCTATCACGCGTTTAAAATTCGAGAAAATTCTTATAAGGAGGACTTTAAAATCGATGAGTGGGGAGGATGGTGGGTAAGTGATAGGAGTCGGATAAAGAATTTAAACATGCCATTTACAAAACACAGATTTAATATATAAATGACAAAACAGTACACAGTCTATGACTAATACAAAGAAATATTCTATCCCTGAATAAACCGGGATTCCTCCTAACTTAAATCTAGAAACTGAGAGAGAGAATTTACGTAGGTTCAAAATAATACCTGACTCAGATGACAGATGTTCTGTGGAGATGTGTGAGAAAATCGAGATAAGGGAAATTAAAGCAAGTTTTTCCCTTTTTTCCATAAAAGTAAAAAGTGTCGTCAGTTTTGATAGGATATAGCTGTAAAATTGTAACTTTTATCACATCGATTAAACAAAAATATTAATAAATTTTATCAATCTTTCTGCTTAAAAAAAAAACCCTTAATAAAATAAAAATTTAGGTATTAGAAATTTATCCTATGAATAAATGGCCTGTCTAGATCTTCACATCACTCTCAAAAATCATTCTACATTTTAAAAAAACGTGATTTTTCTATTGCATTAGCTCACGGAGGTAATTTACACCTACGTTTTAAATCTCTCTCTCTTACAAAAACACCCTTACGATAACGCGATAGGAAATATTCAGTAGATAATAAGTTGAATATACTCTCTCTCTTTTTAAACTTGAATCTCAAGATATATCTCAATAGTTAACGTGGATATTATAAATTAAATACAATAACATGAAATGAGGAGGTTCATAGATAAAGTACAAATTTAATAGAAATAAAATATAGAACAACTTACAGTCGTTACAAGACTGTTACCTTCTTAGGAAATTGTTGTGAGGAAGTTGTTCAATTGGTAGCTCCTACAGGATGATGTAATATTTCATCTAGACAGCTTCTTCTTATAGGTGAACTGAGCTCCGGAGTAAAAAAAGAAAAGATAATATGTTCATTAAAAGGTACTGGCAGTAAGCTTCTCACGTAGGTGCACATTTCAATCATAATAAGTTATTGTGAGGTGCTCTAATTATTCATGGATGGACAATCACGAGGTATTTTCTTGGTTACAAATTTAAATGAAATTCTCTCTCTTTTTAACTTACTAACTTATACTCTAAACTAGAGCTACTTCCTATAAATCTTATAGTAAGGAAATAAATAAATCTACAAAAATCGAATAGGAAATGAGTATTAATATACTATTTCCTTTTTTCTATTATCGTATTGTATGTTTCATTATCTCCCTTTTTTGTTGTTAAATTATGGGAGAATTTACATCTTTCCCGACAACCGTAACTTCTATTTGCGCGTAATGCAAGGAACTTAAACTGATTGCGATGATATCTTTGCTAATTGACCTCTCAAGTTTCTTGTTATTTTCTACCTTTAAATTTGAATCTTTCGCTAGTCCGATACGACCCTTTTTGATGGGGATGGGTAAGCAGCTTCGTCGAATCGATCCCTCGGTTCTCATCGGATCAGCTCGAAGGATATGCTTGGACCTCTAATCAACGAGAGGATGAACAATATGGCTCTCCGTAAGCTCCGGAAAAGAATCAGATTAGTTCGAAACGTTGCTTCACCTTGACCTATTTCTTCTTTTGTGGTATCTACGCGGGGCATTGACGTAGAGGGTGGTATATTGTCTGTCGGTTATTCTGAAGGTAGCACGTTTTTTTCTTTGAGTTAGAAAAAATTTAAACTTATGTAAAAACGGGAAAATACATGAACCTTCTCTGGAAACTTGTGAATCGATAAAACAATTACCTTTTTATTTTGTTTGATAACAAAACTTCTCTTTTTTCTATTTACT